ATTAAAACCTACCAGGACATTTTAAGTTGGCTACTTCTTGCTTCATTTATTTATCCATCACAGAGCTCTTATTAGGCTTTCAAGAAAGAAAACGCATTCTCACATCCAAATAGAGGAATACTGCAACCATGAAGGAGCAAAGACTTCTGCTCAGCTTTTGAGTTCTCTTTGTGGACAAATCCCCAAGAAAGCAGTTCCATGGAACCCTCCTGATTAGGATAACTGACTGATTGGTGGAATAACCCACATCTGATTGGGTTCACCTCAGTTTCCTAAATCCAGACTCTTGAAAAGGTTCAGGTTTGCATGTAAGCCTTGACGGAGATGTCCAAGTTCAAATATTGTGAGGTGAAGGGTCAGCAGAGTTACCAAAAGCTTGTCTGGCACGTAAATGGCTCCCAGAATGATGGATTAGGACTTCAGACCCCTCAGCTTTCTCTTTTCCCTGTGTGACACTGTAATGCTTCCATCACTTTAGCTGTGCTGTCTGTACAGGGGGGCAGGTTCTTGCATCCATTGGAAAAGAGGCAAAGGGGTCGAAGCCGTCTACTCCTACCACAGAGGTTCAGCATAGCAGTGGTTTTGTTGCTCCAGTGTGACTGTAGGCAGGATAGAACTGTTCTTATTCTGGTTAGAAGCATGCAACTATTCCTGTAGTGCTGAGTCATCAATATTTGTGTCTGTTTGCATATGTTTGTGTGGTGACAATCTTGAAGCTCCAAAGGGAAGTGGTATTTCAGGCTTTGCCTTGGGGATGGGCTGACCTGTGACACTGTGAAGTGCGAAGTGCATCCACCTGACACAAGGGAAAGTTGTGGCTTGTTTCTCATTTAAATGATAACTTTTAAAAAGTCCCAGAAAACCCTCCCACCCAAAAGACATGTTTCTTGCAGTTGTACTTTTCCATTCTGTACAACAGCGCTGCCCATGATTGGGTTTTGCTATTTTGTCCCGAGGAAATGTCAAAATAAATTAGACTTGTATCAAGCTAATCTTGTGACTATGTGTTGCAGAGTTCCTGTGTTCTGGAGTGTGGTATCCGTGCTCCTTGAATGCTGCCAGTGGCATTGGCTGTTCCAGCGATGTCTGCTCTCAGACTGGCAGCTGTAAATGGTACAACTTGTCCTGTGTGAGGCCATGTGGACATGCTTCTGTGTGGGGGAAGTGCCCCCCTCCCCTCGAGCTCTGCAGTGGTGAGCAATGTTCTGCAGGGAAATTTGCCTTTAGTAGATCCCCCTACCCCTTGCAGTTGTCAGTTTGGAGATTCTCTCAGCTTATTGCAAAGCCAGTTACAAGCCCTTTGAATCAGCTTTATACTCATACACCAGTAGGATGTTTTACATGCTTTTAGCACTATAGAGAAATGAAAGCAAAACTTAAGGCAAGCTTTCTCTTTCTCCGTCTAAAATCAAGCTAAAGAATAAGGGTGTAAGAAAAGGCCTGTGGCTTCCTAGAACATATACTACATCCTGTGGTATGATACTAGTAATATATCATAAATGTCATGGTATGAAATAGCAACTACAACTGCAAAGTCAGTGCAGCACCCCCAGCCTCACCATGGTGACTTCTGGGACTGGTGCTGTCCACCCTGCCACCACTTGTGTCTTCTCCCTTCCTATATCCCTCCTTTCATACTTTTTATGGATCTTCAGTATCTAATTGATGAACTGTCAAAACAGTGGCTTCTACTACATCATTCCTGCAAGGAAAGACTGTGTGAGAAGTGCAAGACCCAACTGTGTGTGATCTGCAAAGCTTTAGATGTGCTGGGCCGTTGCCAGTGCAGGTGACAAGCGTGTGTGGCTCCACTTGTGAGTGGTGCAAGTGGTACCTTGGAGCATGGCACCTGTGCAATTAACTTTCTCATATCCTGAGACCCATATCGTGGGTTGTGACCCCATCATCTCTGTGTGTCTGGAGTATCAGCACAAAGAGGACACACACCATAGCATGTGGCTGAGGAAGTCACTTGTGCGTGGCTGGGATTTTAAGTGTGGAAAATCCCAATCCTGGCTTTTTTTTTGCTGCAAAAGTAAGCAGGGAGTAGAGATGCGGATGATGCTAACCATGGCTTATGAATGCTAAGCTAAATATAAAGCAACCTGATCGTGGCAAGGACGTAAGAGGGTTCAGTAAATGTTTGTATTGATTAAACTATTAACAAGAATAGCAAATCCCATTACACTAATCATTATTATATTGCTCTCCTGCCCCCTCCTCCCACTTTCTCCTCCCCAGAATGTTTTTTCCTAGAATACAGCAGACACATACAGGGAAATCTCCCACCTCAGGGGCCTGGCTGTCTGAAATACCCCCCAGCATTCACTATGGAGGTGGATGGTGTCTGCACGCTGGGCTCTGGCTTCAGTGATGATCTGTGTGGTGATCTCTACTCAGGAGAGGAAAGCCTGGAGAAAAGTGGAGAGAGACTGCTAGTAAGAGAATGACAATGCTGAGGAGTATTTAGCCCAGAGGAGGCATCCAGGCATCCAGGAAAGAATAGCTTTGGCTCCTAGATTTGTTACTAACATGTTTTCAAATGGTGAAAGGATGCGTTCATGTAACCAGCTTCCCTCTGCTTCTCCATTGCCAGGCAAAACTGTTGTGTTTGAAATCCAAAGTCTGTGCTTGCTTAAAAAGGGTTAAGAGATGGAAGTATTACAGTTGGGGATGGGGAGAAAGAACAGGACTTGGATGATCGGTTAGTTCTGCTCTGAGTTGTAGGATAGAGAGTTTGGTGGTAAAGTTTGTTTTCTTTAAATAGACTTACAGACTTATGTTAAATGGCTCAAAGTGATCTATTGGAAAGCATTTGTTTGAATCGTTTTTTTTGGACAAAGTTCATCAAAACTTGGAATGTTTTCAGGGATTTCTTAAAATCTCTAATTTTAATGCAGTATGGTTGGGGGGATGTGTCCCGAAAGATGTTGGCGAAACCTTTTACCCAGGTTTGTAGCCTTTAAAAGCAAGTTACTTCAATTCTTTTTGTTATGCATCAATAATGAAATGTTCAAGACTACTTCAGGAATTCAAATCCCTCATTCCCAGTCAAATTAAAAGCAAGAGGGCATTCAGGTCCCTTACTCAGCTTCAGCAGCCTAGAACTTCAGTGTTAGTTTGCAATAGCTAATATGTATTAAACACACTTTCAAGTGCAGTTCTATTATCATTTATCTCATGGTAGTATTGCCTCACAGTCATAATTTTTTGCTTCTATGCAGTAGTTCTCTGTATCCCAAGGGACAGGAAGGCTTTATAAACAAATGTAGGCCATTCCCAAATCCTTGGGCAAGCAAAACTTCCACGGAAGTCTCCAGGAGCTTTGCTCACATAATGCCTCTTGTTTCATGCCATGAACACTGCTGTGTATACAAGCAGATGTTCTCCTTTGAGTGAAGGTGACTTTGGGGGAATAGCAGTAGTCATGTAGCAGCCCACACACACGTCCCCTGCAGTGGTTCGGAGGAGAAAATAATGGTTATCAACTCAAACTGCAGAAGGGTATGTGCACAGAATGGGATTATGCATGGAGGGAGTTGATGACTGGCTCAAAATGGGGTTCTGGCTAAAGGAAACCTTTTCTAGGACATTCTGCAGAACATACGGGTTTGGCTTTATTCATAGAACAGCTTATTTGCCAAATGTGTAAAGACTAAAACCCCAAGCTTTTCATTTGGGAAGTTTCTGCATTAGGATGTTCTCTGCCAGTGCTTTGATATGCTGGAATTAAAATGTTTGTTTTCACTCTGGCTTGATACTAAGCTGGTTTAATGTCTTACAGAAGCTGTTTTGAAAGCTTTCCTTTTCCTCTGTAGATCCAGCTCCCTGGGTGGGTGACATCTCTTATCATCAGTCAGGCAGTTCTGAGTTGTGCCTTTAGATAATGAAAACCAAGACCTTGCATATTTCTCCCCAGCAGAGTTCTTCCTCTGTTTCCTTTCACCTCCGATGTTTGTTTTTTTTCTCTGTGTATATCCCAGTATTTCAGTCTCAGTGTTCTTTTCTCACATATTAGTCTTGCAAAGGAATCAGAGACCTGTCTCATGGTTCAGGAGGTGCTTTTTGTCTTCACCCAGTTTCTTGTCTTGCAGTTGAAGTCACCACCCATAATCCTCCCCTGCCTGGACTTTGTCACTTCTGATCCCAGTGATGCTCGTTCCCATAGCATTTCTTCATTGTGGCATGACAGCATTACCATGTAGTGCTCCATGGGTTTCCTTCTTGGCTGAAAAGCATCAGGAGAGGTTTAGCTCTTCAGTGCTGTTCATTCATTTCAACTGACTTCATTCATGCTGCCCTTTTACTGCATCCCTTCCCTCATCACACCTGCCCTGTATCGCTGCAGCCACTGCCACACACATTGCAGAGGGAGGAACAGATTATTTCATAAATGGTCAAGGTTGGAAAACACCTGAAGCTCATCCAGTTCCAACCCTCTGCCATGGGCAGGGATGCCTCATGCTAGACCATGTTGCTGCAAGCCCTGTCTGACCTGGCCTTGAACACTGCCAGGGATGGGGCATTTATCACTTCTTCAGGCACCCTGTTCCAGCGCCTCACCACCCTCACGGTAGAGAACTTCTTCCTTGTATCTAACCTGAACTTCCCCTGTTTCAATTTTAACCCATTACCCCTTGTCCTACAACTACAGTTCCTGATGAAGAGTCCCTCTCCAGCATCCTTGTAGGCCCCTTTCAGATACCCACCTGTATGTTCAACATGGCATCTAAACCATGCTTGATGGCCCTCATCCAACACTTAGGTCAGTGCAAAGATACTACTGAGATATGAACAACTGAAGGCAGTGTTAGATGGAGAACCAGGGACCTCCTCCCCTTTAGCATGAAGAAATTAGACCAACGAGTGGGGATGCCTGGAGATCCATCTCATTTGCTGTCTTTTAGGGGATTTTTTTCCTGTCCTAAACCCTGGATCAGTGAATCATAGCAGGCTCTGGGTGCTTTGGTTCAAGCAGAGATGCTTGGGGATGTTTCTCCTAGCTGTGTGCTGGAGCAAATGTAATTCCAAAGCCATCACAGCCTGCAGCAGTGAGACCACAGGAATGGAGGAGAAATGATCCAGCAATGAAGAAGCTACAGGGTATATTTGGGTTTGCCCTTTAAAAGCAACTACTGTACCTCTTAAACCTCAGTGAGATGCTGGAGCGCAGCTAATGCTCTGCCTCAGTCTTGGAGATGGAGCTGGCTGGTCTTGCTTTTGTGACTGATCTACATCTGCTGCAGGTCTGGCTGCAGAGCTCAGCAGAGGATCTGCTTGTGTAGCAGCAGGCTCTGAAGCACCTCCCATGTCCTCCCGCTGAGAGAGTCTGTTGTCTCTTTGCTCTCCCAGTGATTTTGGTGTCAGTGCTTGCAGGGCAAAACTGAGCTCTGGGTAAACACCCACCAATGACAGCCCCTGAAAAAGGTTTTGTGTCTGTAATTGTTAGTTATTTAATGCACATTTGGGTCACATCACTTGATATATGTGAGATTCTACATATGTGAATGTGCACCAGTGTTGACAGCTGTGGTTTTACAGCTGTTTCAGATAGTATAGGACAGCATTTACCAGTTAAGGCAACACAAGCCAAATCTGGTTTGACTTTGCCCCTCAGGCAGCTGATTGCGTGTGGCTGTGCCCCAGGCTGGACTCTGTGGGGCTGGATTGGTGCAGGAAGGCAGCATCCTTCAGGTGTCAGAATGCTGGAGGGGACAGGAGCCTGTTCCAATGATGCTTTCCCAGCCCTCTTCCTGATGGGTGGGTCATCCTTCCTGGTCCCAGCAGAGGTAAAAGCTGCCATTACAGTGGGTGCTGCTTAGTTCTGAGGTGCATGTAACTGAGCTGTGAGCGTGTTTGCTCACCTCTCAGTTTTTGGGCTCCAGCAGAGGCACAAGGAGCTGCAGGCTTCTCTTCAGGAAAGTCAAGGCACAGTTCACTAGGCAAGAGAGGACTGTGACACAGAAGGCTGCAAAGAGAAAAGTGCTGCTGTTTCAGCTGCTCCCACCACAGCAAAAGAACGTTATTGTGTCCAATAAATTAATGAAAGCATCTTCAATAATATAATTATATAATGATATATTTTATATATAGATTTAAAAATGTATGAAAATACATAAAAGCTACATGGTCTTTGGATTCCCAGAGGAAACAACCCAGAGGAACTGCTCCCTGGTCCCACTCCTATCAGTGCCCTTTGCCCTGGGGACAGGAGGAAGGTTTGGGTGGGGAAGAGGCTGCTCACAAGCTGAGCTCCCTCCACGCTGTGCAAGAGAGCACTGCATCCCTCAAATGAGCATTAAGTAACGGCAGCCAGCAGCAGGGTGGCCACAAGCACTGGCCCCCCAGTGCTGGCTGGAATTGAGAGCAGGGGCTTGAAGAGGGTCATGGTAGAGGTGGTGATTCAGGGATTTGGGTGACAGACTTCTTGGTTATTTACCCCATCTGTTTCTGTGATATACTCCACAACTAATGAGCATCACTTGGGAAAGGAGGGCAAGATGCCTACTTTTTCTGCTATGTCATGAAGGACAGTTTAGCTGCGTCCTCTTACAGCTTTTATTGCCATTCCTCTCTTCATCTTTGCTAAGAAAGCAAAGTGCTTTCCTGGGAATCTACAGCCAGAGTCTGCCTTCAGTGTTGAGGCTCTTGCAAGCCTGAAGAATACCTTCAAATGGTGACAAGTCTTGCAGAGGAGACTTGGCATGCAACTAAACTAAATAATATAATCTGTAATGCAAACATTTATAGAGCAAATAAATAACTCTCAATGAATGTGACATATAAATAAACTCATGCTTTAATTAGCAGGCTATTTCTAAGTCTGCCTTCCTATAAACAGCTAGCGCTGGTAACAAACCTCTTCCAGTGAACACTGGGGCAGGAGTATCTTCTGCGTGAAGAACTAACCAGGAGGAGAACTTCTGCCGTCTGATAAAGGCCCAGTGCTGCCAGCTGCTGAATTGTGTTTTGGTGATGGGACCTGTGGGGGTTTATTTCTTTTCTATGCAAAGGAGGGAGCTCAGGTGGTCCCTGGGACAGTGGGGGCTTTGCAGAGCTGATGCTGGGCATGTTAGCTCTGTCCTACCCAGGTAATCTTAGTTATAAGCCCAGCCTTACCTTTAACACGTTTTAAGCTGTCAGTGACCAACCCTGGTGAGGAGTGGCCACAAACAAGGACTTTGGTTTTGAAAACCATGTTAAGGGAAAAAACCTTAATGGCTACAACATTTTAAAGACATTTTCCTCCTCATCTAGAGAAATGAGATTTCCCCCCCTTCATTAGAGAGATGCAGTATGTTCAATTGTACTTGACTGCAGTAAGTGGTTCCTACCTGGAGCCTTGAAAACCTTCTTCCATTTAGAGGAGGTTTTTCTCTCAGATAAGCTGTGTGTGTCTGGTTCCATTTCTTCCCATATCAGGATGGACGGCTTCTTCATCAGCCCATACATGCCTGCCAAATTAACAGGGTATCAGCTACATTAACTCATTCAGCTCAGTCTTGAGCTACATCGTTATGTTTCTCCAGATGAAATATTGCCCCTTGCAACTATTTCTGATTAAAAACCTGAATATAATAAACTCTATAACCACCATTCACACTGGGAAGGAGGGAGGCCATAGTTTGCAAGACTTAGAGTGTGAAAATAATGCTCTCCAAAGACAGTTATTCCTTCCCACATCCATTGAAATTTGTTATTACATGTTCCATTGGAATTTCAAATCCTTATTCTTTTTATCAGTTGCTTGAAGTTATTTTTAGGAAAGCTTTGGAAGTGTTTCCATCATTTATATGAAGAGGCTGCACAGAATAAACAGGAGAAAGCCCTGTTGTCTGAACAACCTAATGCACTTCAAAAGGCTCAGCTACACGCCGTGATGTCAGGTTATTTGCAGAAGGTCAGATCAATTTTATCATCAGGCAAACATTGGCACATTACTTTTCTTAGAAGCGAAGCAAGTCAAGTCTTTTCCAAGAAATACATTTGAGGAAAAATCAAATGGCATTTGTTAGAAACCATCACTCACTGGGACTTGTTCTCTTTAAGGCACTTGCTCCCTTATTACCTTTGTAATGGTAAGCCATTGCATCCAAATGTCATACAGGGGCAAATCTGGGTTTAAGTTTCCTACTCAGTAGGGCAAATGAATCAGAACTGGGGCCTGTGTGTCTGTGGTGCAGTGGATAATCTTTGAGAGGGGATTTTTATCTGTTTGCTTACTTAACTTCAAAAGAGGGTTCTGACCCATAAAATGCAGTGTTGACCCAAAGGGCCAGATTTCCTTTAAACCTGGTGGCTGCTGGAAGTTGTCTCCAGGCAGTGGATGTGAAGGAGAGGGGAAAGGATGGCTGCTGGTTGAGGGAATGGTGACTTCCTGTGTAAGGAAAGAAGTGCCCTGCTTTGCTTTAAGGAAAGAGAGTGGAGTAAGGTTTGAAGGAAAGTATTTCCTTAGTGTTGTTGCAAGATCCCAAGGAGAGCTCTGGGTGAATTCTTCTGGCCAAGAACTGTCTGTGTCTATGCCATGTTTGCTGAAAGCTGTAACAAAAGACATGGTGGGTGGTGGTTGGCTCCTGTTATCTGTCCATACCTGTAATGCTGGCCCTGAGAAAGGAGACTTGGACTGAAGCCCTGATTCACATCAATCCTGGACGCAACAGTCTGTCACATGGTTTAACTCCCTGTGTTGTTCTCATATATCAGATATTGATCATACATCTCACTTGTCAGATATGATTATTAAAGTGCAGTACCACATGTATTGTAACTATGGTCTGTGGCATGTCCCTCAGGGAGGCAGCAATGAGACTTGCCGTGTCTCCAGTCCTCTCTGCTTCTCAGAAAACACTGTTAAGAGTTAAGGTCCTCATCCACCTGCTCCTGTGTTCAGGTTGCAGAGCCAGTGCATCACCCTGTTTTGCATCAGACAGTGTGAATCCACATGACTGACACATAGACATGACCTGTGCTCTGGAGCTGGTGGCATGAATAACAAATCTGCTAGAGAGGCCTAAAGAAAGATGCAAAGAGCAAATGGATGACAGCAGCATTCCTCTTGCCACCACTCTTTCCAGCATCCAAACATTTGGGGATGCTGTTTCTGATGGATTATAGACTTTTATTGTTAAAGGCTGTAATTTATTCCCCTGTTTCTGCCTGTATTTTTATTTTCTGGACCTTATCCAAACAACACTGAAGTCTGCTGTTCTTGTGTGGATGGATGGATGGATGGATAAGAAGGGCACAGTCCCTCTCTTTATGGTTTGTATGGTTATGGGAACTGATCAGGAATTTTCCATCAGTGTGTTTACTCATTGGAAAACGTGGTCTCCATAAACTGAAAGCAGGATGGAAATCTGAATCTCTGATGAGGACTAAAAGCTTTCCTGGTGCTGCACGAGTCTTGGGGAGCAAGAAAAGAGAGAAAATGCATTTTTAATACATGTAAATATGAAACCACAAAGGTGGTGAGAGGGAAGGAGTGGAAGGCAAGAAACCTGAATGGATTTTTAGTTTTATATTGATGACATCTCAGTTAATTTAATGATGGGAGTGGGGAAAGCAAGGCTCTAATGGGTGACAGGCACTTGGGCTTTTACAGTGAAAGGATGTTCAAATACAAAATGGGTTTTCAGGAGCTGGAAAAATCATAACTTTCTGGGTTTGGAACAGCTGTAAGGTTTAAATGAACTTGAGGTCTTTATGTTGTGATTGCACCTTTGGGACAAGGCAGAATGGAACTTAACTACATTGAGACCTATAGGGAAAAGCCTCTGGGGAATGGGGAAAGCAGTTAAGGGTAGTGCCAGGTAAACATACAGACATAAGTGTCTGTTTTAACCACTGGGAATGGTTCTTTGATGGCAATGTCTTTACAGAAGGAATTACTACAACTATTCATTATTGAAAATAACTGTTTCTTCTTTACCAGTCTGTTGTTTTAAAGTTAACTCCATTTAGTCTGGGGTTAGAAATCAATGCTACCTGGCATGGCTGTTTGGCAGGATAATTTTGTATCAGATATCTTATAGGTTTCAAACTATTTGACCAAACCATAAGAATAATAAATGTACTTCCAGAAAGCAGGGGAAAACACCCAAGAACAAAAGGAAGGCTCTGGGTTTTGGACAATATCTCCATAACAAATCATTTGACTATAATAGGGCATCAATTCTAAGAGGTTTTCAGCATGTGTGTTTATAATCCATAGACCTGCAAGCCAGGTTGATTTTTAATCCTCTGGTGGCAGACTGTTGCCTGCTCTAAACTGGTGCATGTAAGACAATATTCCTAATTCAACCTACATGGGGTGGAATTGGGCTCTGTGCTGGGCTTTTTAAGAGGATTTACCACCATAGGCTGTACCTGACAGGCATTTCCTCCTGGAGCCTCCCCAGGGAGCTGTAGTGATAGGACAAGGGGTAATGAGTTAAAACTTAAACAGGGGAAGTTTAGAGTGGATATAAAGAGGAAATTCTTTCCTGTTAGGGTGGTGAGGCACTGGAATGGGTTGTCCAAGGAGGTTGTGAACGCTCCATCCCTGGCAGTGTTCAAGGCCAGGTTGGACGAGGCCTTGGGTGACATGGTTTAGAGCGAGGTGTCCCTGCCCATGGCAGGGGGGTTGAAACTTGATGATCTTAAGGTCCTTTCCAACCCTAACTATTCTATGATTCTATGATTCTAAAGCAAAGCTCCCTGGGCTGAGCTGACCACAGGCCAGGCCAAGCCCAGTGTCCTGCAAGGAGAGCTCTGTAGAGTTTGTTCTTGCCCACTTCTTCCTACTGGAAATGCCACAGTCACTGCTCTGTGTTAACCTGGGAGTTGGCAGCACAAGTGTTGGGAAAAGAGTTTGTCAGTTGGACGGGAAATGTCAAGAGAGTAGATTTGAAGTAATGAAGACTCGGGAGTTCAGTAACAAATACTGAATAACATTTGTCTGATGGAAGCTGTCCCACTCTGGTTAAAGACACACAACCTTTCTAAACTGGTACAGAGTTAAGCTCTTGTTTGGGACATGGTTAAATTAGCATCAAGGTTAAGCAACATCTGTGAATATTTCCAGTGCTCACAGAGCTAGAAATCAGTTTTGCATCATGCACAAGTGGTAAATAAAGAGTTTCCCAGAGTTTTGCTTTTCTGTTACCTTGCATCTAATCCTGCCACTGCAATTGCATGGAAATGTGTTGATCATTTGTTTCAGGAACATGTCACAAGTATCTCTGTCTTTCTGGTGATCGCTAAAAATACCCTTCAGTCTTGTGTGGTTTAATGATGGATGAAGCTTGGAAATGGAACTTGTCTGGGGTTTGTTGTAAGATAAATTTAGAGCATGGGAGTAAAATTCATATGAGCTAAGCAGGGGCAGTGTGAGGAATATTGCTTGAGGATGCTAGAGAAGGCTTCTGGCAGAATTTAGGAGTATAAGAGTATATATGCAGTGTAACATGAGCATCCAACTACCTGGGCTTGCTTTGGTTTCCTTTAGAGAAATGATCTATTTCTGTCCATGTTATCTGCAAACATAAGGTTTGGAAGAAAGCTGAAGAAGGTCACAGCAGCATATGGCTCTTTCACCTCCTCTTTCCATAGTATTAAATGCATGGCTGGTATTAGCAGTGAGCATGACAACATGTCCTGAATGCATGCAAATAAAATAACCCACTTCTTCACACATGGCAGACCAATATGCATTTTAGTTGCTGCTTAAAAATATTGGTGTGCAAACAGAAATCCTTCAGCCAGTAACAAACAAGAGGTAATGGTCAGGTCAGGCTGTGCCAGGGGAGGTTTAGACTGGATAATAGGAACAATACCTTCACCAGAAGGGTGCTCAGGCATTGGAACAGGGCAGTGGTGGAATCACCATCCCTGGAAGTGCTCAAACCTGTGGAGACGAGGCCCTCAGTGCCATGGGTTAGTGGTGGCCTTGGCAGTGCTGGGGAATGGTTGGACTTGATGGACTTGACTTTTCAACCTGGTTGATTCTATGATTGTATGAAAGTGCTGATGTGCACATCAGGGCTCTGGGTACCTGCTGGATTCTACCACAACCCAGACTCACTGTTCACAGCCCAGCTCCTGCTTTCCGTGCCCGGGTGTTCCCACACAGCTGCCTGCTGGGCTTGTTCTTTGGAAATCATTAAGCTCTCTGGCCTATAAAATACAGCTGACAGGACTGATCCTGCCAGGATTAACACCCAGAGTCCTGAGGGCTCTGCACACATCGGAGGTGACAGCCCCTTCCTGCGCACAGCCTTCCCACTCGGTCCAGTGAAGCAGCAGTGTGATGTGGGGGATGGAGGTTTGGAACTGGCAATGAGCAAGGGAGAAGTGTTGCTGCAGCCTTCCTGGATTGTGTAACTCTTGGATCGTGTGGGTTTGTGTGTACATCCAGGGTGCTTGGCTCCTGGCGGAGACATTGTCTGATGAAATAAGAGACTTGCAAAAGCACTTC